GGACTGTTCCCAATTGAATCATCAACTCCATTGAAGTGATCAAATTTGTAGAAAATCATAATGTTGTTTAATTTGAAAGGGTTATATTTATAGGAGTGACTAATTGTTTGAAAAAAAGTTTTTGGCTTTCTACTACTCCATCTCGATATAAAAAAATGTAGTAATTTTACATAGAAAGGAAGGAAGTAATCAATTTTAATAAAAATAATTTCATACATAGATGTGTAGATCATGCAAAGAAGTAACTTTCAGACACAAATTGGAAGAAAAAGCCTTCCTGAAACAGCTACTTTCATATAAACATTGAATTATACGAAACAAAAATTCTTTCCAAACAAATACTCTTATATGGACACTGAATTATACAGAAAACACTTTTTTCTACTCAGTTCGTATTCCAAACATTCGTTATAAAACTAAATCAGGATTTCTACACGATATACTGAATGAAAGATAAAAATTCCACTTACATGAAACACTGTCATGCTCACTGGTAGACATCGATGTTTCGCCGTAAGACACTTGCCTTAGGGCTCCTCAATACCAATCTGGTTAAGATTTTCGAAAAAAAATACACAATTCATTCATTAATTACGTTTTTTATGTCACGGAATAAGTTTGATCTACATATGTCAACGATGACATCGTAATGACATTCAATTACCTATTTGATTAAATCCCAGCCAAAAAGAATCTTGTTTAATTTGGAATGGTTATATTTTTAGGAGTGATTCATTTTTGGGAAAAAAGATTTTAGCTTTCTACTACTCCATCTTGATAAAAAGATAGAAAGCCGAAAACTTTTCTTCCCAAAAATTAGTCACTCCTTAAAATATCACTCTTTCAAATTGAACAAGATTCTTTTCGGCTAGGATTTAATCAAATAGGTTAATGAATGTCATTACGATGTCATCGATGGCATAAGTAGATCAAACTTATTTCGTGACACAAAAAATCAAAATTTATGAATGAATTGGTACTGAAGAGCCCTAAGGCAAGTGTTTTACGGTGAAACATCGATGTCTACCAGTGAGCATGACAGTGTTCCATGTTAGTGAAATTTTCATTTTTCATTTAGTGTATCGTGTAGAAATCCTATGAATGATATCTGATTTAGTTCTATAACGAATGTTTTGCTTAGAGCACATGATTCTCGGATCCAATGATCACTTACTCCACTGTGTGTGAAAAATAATAAGAATAATAATACCCTCAGGCTCATACAAGCTAATGAGCCTGATGTAGTCCTTCTCGACCACCAGAGCAAAACGATATTTGTCGTGGAGTTTTCAGCTCCTGGCGAAACGAATATCGTCAGAAAAGAGTAGGAAAATCGGTTGAAATATCGATCATTTGCTTTTAATTCAATCATTCTTCGTTTACTGCAAAAATAATTAATTTCCAAATCCATGTATCTCAGTTTTGTACAAAGCGGTATTCTCTCCCTAATTGAAAAATCTTCGGTAACAAATTTATTCGAATATTTGATGTCATAACACATAGTAATTAACCTAATAACATAATAATTCGTGACTTAAATGCAATCCCAAACTAACGTAATAACTACTACTACGAATTAGTTCAATGACTCATTCAGTGACCCATTTTATGTGGGGTTTGTCCAGATGTAAATGAAAGCTCTGAAATGAACAGTGAGATTTAGTTTTAGTCGCCTCCTGATGATGCTAACTTGATTGACGAAACACGCGACTTTCATTCTGGCGTGTGGTAAATATTTCCGATATATTCATTCCGCGCCAAAGGATCCAATCCTATCTGATGAATAAATATGAAGTTGTTGAATGGTAATTTCCACTTTTCGTCATTTGTCAGTTGATGTGGATTTGGTTTCAGACAGACTCATGTAGATTATTGATTTTACAAAACTAACAACCATTTGTTATTTTAGATTACTAATGAGAAAATAAACGAAAATTTAGTGAAGGAAATATCGAACTAATGACGTGTCAATCTGTTCACGATTATATTGAAATGGAAACATGAATGTGCCACAGCCTTCATTTCCTTTCTATTTTTGATATTCAGTGATATTTGTGATAATTATACCTTGCTAGACAAGATCAAAGTGGACAGTTACATTAGGCCTCCATTAGAAGTTCTAGATGAAGAAGTGTAGTTATCAATATTATAAATTATTCACCAATATTTAAAATACCAAATTAAATCTAATTTAGCTTCATTAATTGAAATTTGACCCCCTTCCTGTTGACAGATTGATCTGATGTTTGTTACATACATTTAGTTTTGAGAACAATATAATTGAATGAATTTTGTACCTCAATACTAGTAGAATAGTAGTATAATTTGGAAAAGATGCAAATTCAAGACCGCAGCTACAAAATGTCTGATTTCCATGTTACCTAGTAACACTGAATGAACTCAACAGAATGAGAAGAAAATGAAATCAAAAACAGAAAACTTGATAATAAAATAAGTTGAAAAAAAAAATATAATAATATTGTGGATAATGTACATAGAACCAAAGAATAATTCAGAACATCCTAGGTAGCAGTTACAATACCACTCTCCTCAGCAGTCAACGGTATTGATCAGATAAAAAAATAATAAAATCTTTGGGCGTAGTATTTACATATTTACTCAGATTACGCTACGTCCAAAGATTTTATTATATTTTTATATGATCAATACCATACATTGCGGAGGAGAGTGATGTGACGACTACTACCTAGGACCTTCCGAATCATAATTCAGTTTTTAGTAAACTATATACATTTTAGTAAACTATATACATCATTATTATAATTTTTTTCTTTAATAAAACCTTTCAACAATAAATTATTTTAATTCCATATTCTATGCGCTAACACCCAGGTCATTCTGTTTGGTGTCTTCGATAGGCAAGTTGGTTAATGCGGCTGTTAAGTGAACATGGATCCGGTTTCAAATTCTGGTCGCGTTACATTTTTTAAATTCCGTTTTTTTATTTATGTATGAATATCGTAAATTTTCTTTGCAGTAATTATATTATAGACGATAAAATTCAATTTTTCATTGATATTTATTGATCTACCTTATCAGCTGTTTGAGTTCCAACTATTCTACGTGTGTTATATGATTATCGTTCATGCACAAACTTTTAGCGAATCAGATGGAGTAGTAGAAAGCCAAAAACTTTCTTTCCCAAAAAAAAAATTAATCACTCCTAAAAATATAACCCCTACAATTCAAATAGATTAGGCATTTATAGTGTCCGACCGAAAGTTCGGTTTCGGTTTCGGTCGAGTTTCGGTAAAAAAACGGGTTTCGGTTTAGTTTCGGTTTCGGAGGCAAACCTGCCGAAACTACGACCGAAACCGAAACTGCATTCGGAAGTTCCCGCGCTGTGATCGGTCATGTTCGGCTCGTTAAATTTCATACAAGTGATATTAGGTAACAACTCAAATAAGTAATTTTATTGAAAACCCATCAATAATATTCAAAAAAAGAATCTACACCTACTCAAATAAACACCTCACCTATTTCAAGTATTTTTTAGATGTCATTAATATTTTCCTTAAATAAGGGATTTTTATGTTGATTATCAATAAGTAAAAATGTCGAAGACTGCATAACGTTGTGATTTAAAGATAAAAAAATAAAGACGAACTGATTAAAATAACCTTTTCTTTATTTTTCCCTCAAAACATAATTCTTGAAAGGAAGTTTCGGTTTTGGTTTCGGCCGAAACTAAGACCGTTGCCGAAATTCGTTTTCGATTTTGGTCGTGAAAACCAGTTTCGGTCGGACACTAATTATGTATATTACCAACTGAAGTAATGCAAATTTTGGTGAAGGATCTGGGAGTGGTAAAAATATCTCGAAATAACAGGAAAACTAACTTGCTGTTCAGCATCTCAGTGAGCGAAACTCACATAAAGGCATAGTTCTGATGTGGAGGAATCGTTTTCAAACGATTTCACAATTTTGTCTATCAAACTACATTCTGAAATTTTCAATTAAACGATTCCCTCACACATAAAAGGTACTTTGTTTTCAATGGTCAGATTTTATCACATATTTGAATATTTTGATACCTAATCAAAAGATTAATTACTCTGAATAGGCTAAAAAAAATGTACAAAACCATTCACAGTGGATTCATTACAGTTATATATTTGGTACTACTAAAGATTGCTTAGTGAAATAAATGCTTTTCATGAAGAGTCGTATGTGAGTTAACTACAGTAAGTTCAAGAGCAAGACCATTCTAATAACTGTCAGCAGAATTTCGAATGTGATTATGGAAAATCAAAGAGTCACGGGAGCAAAACTGTATATTTGGATTGTTTATAGTATATTCTTCAATACAGTTCTAGTAAAATGTGGATTCATGATATCATTTAAGAAGTATATTTGTTCACATTGAACATAGGTTAATTTTTGATGGACATCTACGTTTACATTCAATAATATCATTATTTATATTAGCAAGGTCAACGTTATTCGTCACTAACTGTTTCCATTCTTCAGATATACCCTTGTCTAAAGTCGAACTTTTCAATCTCCACACATTTTATTGTCCAAGGTTGCGTGTGACATCAATGTCGTGGCGATTCGAAATGAGATAAAATGAATATTCATTTTGTTTCAGAAATTAATTAGCAGAATATATGCGTATCCCAGTAATTTTGAAAAATTAGGAAAATATGGACAATAGTAACGAAAAAAATATCGTGGAGATTTATATTTCACTTTTGGTAATTAACTTTGCTTCATGACGTTCTGTATATTCATTCTATTCCTGCGGAAGCATCATTGTTTCTTCCGAAATAACAATAATTTTTTTTGGTATATTCCCGAACAATACTAATAAACGAATAAGTCAACTAAAACTTTTCCATAGCAAACTCACGATCACCCACAAAATAATTTTCCTCGGGAAAACACCTTCCCCTCAATTGGTTACCCTACCGACGCGTCGCATTTATCTTTCCGTTGATTGGCCGCTAAACTCTCCATATAAAACAGGATAACTCGTGGAAGCTCTCTCACAGTAAGTCCAGAGTGCTCTGCCAGCAGGAAAAGACGAAAGGTAAGAACTGTTGATTATGTTCTCGTCTTTTGCTATGTTGTTTTGGAGAAGCGCTTTCGAAGTTCCCTGAGAACGAGGATCACATGCATTGCAGAAGTTTAACAGCTCATAAAGATTTCATGTGAACGGGGAGATATTTGTTGATCGTAGTGCGTGCTGTGTTTTGGGAACGGTTTTTGGTGTTTCATTTTGAGTTAATCCACAGGTGGTAGAATCAATTCTCATAGCGTAAATAACGTGTTTTCTCAATTCGAATGATCGTTGATCTGTTATGTTTACTTATATTTCGATATTCAGTTATCGTTCTAGGTATTTTTTCAATGTGAAGGAAAGATAACAATTATTTTATAACATCAGTTCTATGATTCTATCCGATATCCCAACGTGTACCCTGAAGAAAGTAATTCACAATTCATTCTCTATTCCAACTCAACTAGAGGTTGTTAATCAAAATTGTGAAGATATGACAAAAATTTTATTTTTGAATTTTGAACTTCACCAAATCATTTTCAGAATGAAATGAATGATTCCCAGGTGATCCCAAATATGCATAAGTAATATATGTTTTCAAATTCAACTTCAACAATGCGAATATTGTAATATAAAAGTACATTGAAATGTTATATATCCAAGTTTGAATCAGGTAAATAGCTACCGTTTCACCAATTGAAAACCTTTTCATTCAACATTTCAAATAATTATCAAATTTATAAAGTGAAATACGTGTGTTGTAGTATATTTAATTATAAAATCAATTTAGCTCAAAAATTTTTAATGCTTCAGCTTCTACGGTAGAAACGCCTCTACAAATAAAATCTGTTTGTTCAATTACTATCATGGAAAATCTTTGAATGAGTTAAATAGTGAGGTTTATAGATCGTAAATGAATTACGGATAATGAATGAGTGTTGAATAGATTGTGAGTGTTTCTAAAACAATTCGATTTCTAGATATAAAATGAATTGTAAATTTTCTACGCAGTCCCAAAAAGCATTTGTGAAGAGGGGCATAGTGCATGTTCTATAAATGAAAATAGTTTCTCCCCTTTTGAAACGTTCAAAATTATCTACAATCGGAATAGTCTGGAAAATTTGTGATTGAAAATATGTTATCTGTGTTCATATATCATTATTATATTTGATTACAGTCCACATAATATATTTCGAAAAGTTCGTATTCATTGTACGTGCTCATACTTCAGGTACTTGAAAGTATTTGGTATTCAATTTTGATAGTCTCGAACTAGTTTAGGAAAATTTGCTTTTACGATTTTCTGCGCATTTGTGAAGATCAATGATACACTTTCATCGGATTTTTTTTGGGGTGAAATGGAGAAGTAGAATGCCGAAAATTAACATAATATCACAAACATTTAGTATAAAATATTGTCTTTATATTGTCAAGAATCCAATTCCTGGNTTCTTGTTAATTATTCAATTTTCATTTCATGCTTGTATTTCATTTCATTGTAATTTCAGTTTTTTTGCTCAGTGAAATAGTTGTTTGTTAGTTAATGTTTTTTAATTTGTCCACAGATTCTTTCAGGTATTTCAAATCAATATATATCATATTAGACAATGGAAGTTCTAACTAATGGAATGCACCACGAAAAATTGTCAACTACCTTCAAATAAACATATTAGTAGTTTTCTAGTTTCGTCATACAATGGCTTCATTGGGCGTGTCATTACTAACTATATTCTGTATATTCAATGATTTATAAACCTAATTTCACAATTTGAAGTACCTACATTTCCAGTACCCGAGTTTGTTATGAATTCAATTACCTGAGCTTATGTCCCAGTTTCAACATTTGAGAAAATATTCAGTAACGGGGAGTTATTCAATTCTAATTGATCATTCAGTAAATTACCCGAATTATTGAATCTATAGATTTTCAAACAATTCTCTTCCAAATATAACGTCGTATTTATGATTGAACTCGTGTCCTACTGCTAAAAGGTGGCAAATGTGAAATTGGTCTTTTATATTTTCGAAAATAGTTCTATGTTCTTCAACTCTTTGGGAAAATTTACTCCCTGTTTGGCCAATATACAGTTCCGAGCAATAGCCACAGTTCAACTTATATACTCCTGTACTATCAAAGTTCTGGCAGACATTACTGTCAGAACATCATGACAAATAGATGTGCAATCTTCCAGGAGCCTTTTACACATTGAGTTTGTAGTTTTAGTGGGATCGCACGTTGAAAGGTAAGACCCCGTTAGTACTCAGCTCGCACAAGTTTCAACTTTTGAGAGATGTCGTTCCTAGGAGAGCGACAGCTGGTTAACAGATTTTAAACAGATTGTTTTATGATGATATTCCCTGGAGTATTCATGACTCCTTGTCTTTTTCGAAACGATATTATTTCTTCTTACTATCGTGCTTTGAAGTAGGTTCTGTCTTTCTCTGTATATGAAAAATTCATTTTTCTTATGAAAGTATATTTCTCACATTTTCAAAAATTTATCTGTGAATACCCAATCTTCGTAGCTAAAATAATCAAAATTTTGTTCGATGTTGTTCTTCGGAAAAAGTCAACCCTCTCAACTTGGTTTATTTTTCTCTTGAAACATTATTTTTAGCCGCAGGTTGTACTGCAACTATCAATATAACAAATTTTGATATATTGGGCCCTACATGTACATTAGTTTTGGTATATTATACAGCGTGACTCACGGTCGATGGTAGGTAAGACGTTTTTGGAAAACGCAAAGCATGATTTTCCTGAAAATTTCAACTCTCACATTTCCTCACCTGTTCTATCGATCTAAAATATTTTCAGCATTGCTTCGTTGCCACTTCATGCAACTTTATTTTTTTAAATGAAACAACCCAAATATTAATACATTTTTGTCCTATACCTATCTCTATCTGTTTTCGAGATAAAAAATAAATTGTGCTAAATATGGTCCAAAACATAGCCTTAATTGAAATTGAGTAGGTACATCAGTACTCTCAATTCATGAAAAGTTGATATTGAAATCGACTCCATATCATACAGGGCGTGCTAAAATAACTATTATTTCCATTATGCATAAAAGTAGTCAAAAGTTCATTTTTTCAAATGAAACCCCCTGTATATTACTCGATAAATTAAGGTAACTATACCTGAATCGTCAAGTTTTCTCAATAAAGTCGCTTCTTCTAGAAACATTATTTTTTTTAGAATTTGGATTTAGGTAGCAGGGGAATTATCAAGCTTATAGCAGTTCGGTTACTTTTATAAGTAATTAACAAAGAGTTATCGTCGGTGTTTCGAATCATCTTCCAAAATGAATGCAAATATCGATTATTCAAACGAAGTTCTTATGAAATTATTTATTATACACATGAACAAAGTGATCAAATCATTGTCAGAACGTGTAAAAATTCAACCAAATGTATCCTGAATTAACACCAATGAACGAGAGAAAGTTTGTAAGGTTACAAAATAATTTCCTTAACTATGGCTCAAAGTTTCCAGGAAACAACTGTACCAAAAATCAGTCATTTCAAGGTAAAAAGTAAGATTTTGTGGGCTAAAATATGTGAAAGTATAGACAATAACAAAATAGGATGATTCAAAATAACAAAATTGTAAAAAAAATAACACATTTTCTCAATAAATGCTGAAAATCCATTACATTCCAAACACTTCGAAATATTTTTTTGTACGCGACTGTGGATGCTTTTTCAATTTCCTGGGGATCTAGATCTTCAATACTCCGCACTATTCGCCGTCGCAATTCGTCTTTGGTAGGCACTGGAGTACTACAGAAATATTNNNATCATCAAAATATCAACTTTTCATGAATCGAGAGTACTGATGTACTTAATTTCAATTAAGGCTATGTTTTGGACCATATTTAGCACAATTTATTTTTTATCTCGAAAACAGATAGAGATAGGTATAGGACATTATTAACAAAAAAGTATTAAAATACTAGAGCGACTCCAAAAATGTATTAATATACAGGGTGTTCCATTGAAAAAAATATAATTGCTAGGACTTTTTGATAGAAGTGGCAACGCCGCAATGCTGAATATATTTTATATCGATAGAACAGGTAAGGAAATGTGAGAGGTGAAATTTTCAGAAAAATCATGCTCTGCTTTCTCCAGAAACGTCTAACCTACCATCGACCGTGAGTCACGCTGTATTTCATCTATGTAGGTTTGTACTACAAATTGGACATGCCAAATCATTCTGTTTTCCCAAAGTTGTGATCAATACATTTTTTCAGAGCGTTTATACATCCGATGACTCAATAATCAGATATTATTCCAGGATATATAAACCTGTGAAGAAGATAGCCACTCGCGTCAGAGAAACGTCGGAAAGAAATTCCAAAAATCCACGGCCTTCGAACAAAAAGAATAGTGACACTGATTCAGATTGAATTTCATTTTCCAATAACAACGATGTCTGCATGATCATATTACAATTCTTCATATAAAATGAAACTCCAAAACAAATCAATCGAATTAAAATAATAGACTCGTTATCGAATAACGTGAAATAAGTCTGTTCCAGAAAGAAATCATTATTTCTTGTTTAAATTGGGCTTTAGTCATATTACATCAATCATACAAACGATTCGAAATTGGAACTCAATGCTCATTCACAGAAATAGTAATTGAATTTTACCGATCAAAGTTGTTTTTGAAATTGAATATGTCAAAATATGTTTGGCTGATTTAGTGCATTTCAGTTATTCATAAGCAAATAATTGATTACTTTTTTCTGATTACCTCCTGATATTGTTGAAATGAATTTAAATAATTAAATGGACAGAATTTCATGAATATGATTTAGTGCATTTCAGTTATTCATAAGCAAATAATTGATTACTTTTTTCAAATTACCTCCTGATATTGCTGAAATGAATTTAAAGAATTAACTGGACTGAATTTCATGAATATGAATAAATATCGATATCCATTTCTACCATATGAAAACAACCATCGTTAGTGTAATCCTCAGTATATACAAAGACCGTCCAATCCAGGGAAAT